CAAAACTCTACTTCAATGTTCATGGCGGACCGGAAAACCGTCCCAAGCACGCCTTTGGTGCGCGTGGTGGGATGGGACCCCGATGCGGCACCTACGGCGAGGCTGGGTCACTCATAAGTACCCCCGAGCGGGGGGAAAGCAAACTGCCCTTTTTCAATAAAAATTTTTTTTAAAATCCCATGCACGCCTTTGTTGGCGTGATGGGAGAAAAATAAAAAATACCGCCGCAGTGTCTCACAAACACCAACCGTGCACGTCTTTGTTGACGTGGCGGGTAGGCGGCCTCTTGGTTTTTTTCCCTTAAACGGGGGAGACGCCTGGAGGTTGCCGAAATTTGGATCGAGGATCCAAGGACTTGAACAAATTTGGAACTTGATTTTAACCATAACTTGAGCATAAAATCAAACTTAAATCAAGTTTAATTAAATGAAATTGAAATGAACAAGGTGAACTTTGACATTGAACTCAAACTTGTGGACATTAAGCTTGAACAAGACTTGGACTGCAAGGGACATAGAACATGACTCGAACAATTTGAACATTCAAGTGAACTTAATTTTGCAAGCATTTGGAACTTGAACTTGCAAGTGGCACAATGTAACTACAAAGGGACTTAACTTGAATCTAAAAGGGAATTGTAATAAGCATGAGCCTAAGTTGAATTTGAACATAAAGGGACTCTATTTGGAATGATAACCAAAATTCCTATGAAATGTTAAGATACCATCATCCTAATTTGACTAAGAAAGATTTGAGTCATTCAAATCTCATGCAAGCAAGCAAGGACCCATATGTAAATCCTTTCAAAACTTTGACATAAAACTTTTGAATGATAATTTCTAATGTGCAAAGATCATCTTAATTGGGATAAAGATGTTGATAAGTGATGATATTAGACTTATCATGCATATTGAATCATCAAAGTAAGAAGTTTGCAAATGAAGTTCGTTCGTAAGCAATAAAAGAAGACTAAGGAACTTGGTTTGATTATAAACTCATGATATAAGCTTTTGGACCATACCAATTGATTCATAAGATCAAAGCTAGTTCATCCCTAATCTACTTGTTGTGAATGTATTGATTCACTAGAAAGGCTCTTGATGAATATGATGATTCATAGTTTCCTTGTAACCAATGCCAAAGTATTCACCTACGATCATGCACAAGGGATGTAACATGTTAGTGAGCAACATTATAAGAGTTATAATGAATAGAAACATTTATGATGTTCAAGAATTCAATCATCATTTGATTCATAAGCAATCATCAACAAGGATCAAGGACACGTGATCTACTTGCCAGGCATTGATCAATGGAAACCAAAGATAATGCAACAATACAAGAGTAGATGATCATACAAATTTTCCAACAAATGATAATGCAGACTCATGCAACTGATTGACTTGAAACAATTACAATGGCCATAAGGAGATGTGATAAATGCTATAACAACTAATATCTATATGTAGACATTCAAGCAAAGTTTGCAAGTAATGAAGATTGAAAGAGATATGTGATTGATTGAAGGAAAATATCAACGATACAAGTTCGTCACACAAATAACAAGTTATTTTCAAGGGAGACACACATCCGGTGCAATAACTCAATATTTAAAAAATCACATCGAATGAAAAATACAAATGCTTGTGAGTAGTGTCAAAAGATCAGCAACACATACGATCTCTCTACAAAGACAGATGTATGTGCCACATGCCACTGATGGGTATATGCATAAAGACTACAGTAAATGCAGTATCATGTAGTCAACTTCAGTCTTAGGATGAATACATCTACCTCCAGCAGTAGTGGCTGTATTGTAAAGACTAAAATCACAGCAGAATGCATAAAGAATACAAGCTCCTATGAGCTTCTACAATCCAAAGCAGGAGATTAGTTAGTGCACTACGATCGACCTGCGAAAAGCAACAAATAATGCACGATAGTCTACCTGTACAAAGCAGCGAATAAGTCTACCAGAAGCTGCTACGCAACGCCACCGAATCCGCAACACTCGTACTAGCGGACAGAAGGCATCTACAAATACTTTCAAAATACCCCTGCACGTGCACTATAAATTGTATATACATAGGTACACTAAAGGGGTATATTAAAATCACCCGCATGGGCCCCGGCGAGCGTGTTATTGGTGCGCACGTGACGCCTAGGGATGCTGCGTGGGTCGGTAAGTGAACTATAGTTCGAACCTGATCCTTCTATACAGATAAATAGAAGTCGATAGAGTTCAAACCTTCAAACAAATACATGATTGTGGAGACCGGTGTATTTGTTTCAATACATTCATATTAGGCCTACAATCAAAATAATTCACTAAATAAAAGGCACGAACCCTATGAAACCCGATCCTCCTAAGCAGATAAATAGGAGTAGACAGGGTTCAAACTCTCGGATAAATATGCGGTCATGAAATTGACCGGAATGTTTATTTTGTACATTCATATCAGGCCTTCAATGCCTTCAACAAAGAAATCATGAACAAATGTACAAAGCCTACGAAAAACCCGATCCCCTATCGACAAATTGATAGGGTCGACAGGGTTTAGTCAATAGAAACAACCCCAAACACCCCGATGATGGCTGTGTTGAATGTTTATCTCAACCGGAGGGGTTCACAAATAATTTTCAAATGCCTCCCAAAAGTCCATTCACAAATATTCCAAAGCTCCACCCAAAATACCCATAAAAATCCAAAACTCCATAAAGTCCAAATCCAAAACTCCCAAAATCATCAAAATCCAAAAATATTTAAAATTGAAATAAATCCATTAACACTTAAAGCAAAATCCATCCACTCTCCGCAATAGTTTGCTGGGGTGGACAAATTAAAATTTACTTGAGCTCACATAGAGCTAAATGCCTAGTCAAAAATATCACTAGTATCAATTCTCAACCGATCTCCTGCCAATAAGGACGTGGTACGTGTCCTTTAACCGGCGGTTTTGCCGCCAAATGGCACCGCAGGATAAACGGTTATGACCCGGGGCCCTCTAAACCGAGTGGTTTTGCTGCCAAATGGCACCACAGATAGCGGTTATGGCCAGAGCCAATACGCTCCTTAGTGGCATCAAATCCTTGAGATATGAATCAATAGGATATGATCGATAGGGCACAAAGCCCTCTGTTAGCTAAGGTGGATTCAAATTTGTCCCCTTAGGCAAATACCCATCCCAAGTCTACAAGGTCCCCTTGGATGAAGCAACCCATGGCTGCCGACAAGGATCCTTCTGTCAGGTTGGGTCGACTACCTCCTCTAACTAAGTAGACCAGGGATCATGATGGCCCGGGACGACGGAACCATGGGATTTTGATCGGATCCATCATCCATTATCCCACCACCCGCTTTAAGTGCAAGATGGTGAAATTTCCAATTTTAAATATCAAATCCTCTGAATTCTCAAATTCTCTAATTTTCCAACATCCTAAACCCATGCTGCTACTATATGCCAGATAACACGTATTCTCTACGTATCTGATCGATGACTAGCCTTAATCGAAAGTTCTCTCTCGTGATCGGGAGGGGTAATTAACTATAGGGGCTTGCGCCTATAGGAAACCAGAACTCAGATCATAAAATCCTCACAAAATGAGGGCGAAATCTCTGGGTAGTGTCTTATCTACAAACCCATCTGCCTTCCAAAATTTACCTCGGAACTTAATTCGTTAAAACTCCCCTCGCCGAATAAAAAGAAAAGCGGGGAGGCCGGGGCCGAATTTTCGGAGCCCACACCCACATATAACCATTTTTTTTTTTTTAATATTACAGGCGGGGTACAATCTAACGCATGAAGCTCCTATTAATATAGGGTCGGAGAAAAGATTAGAATACACAGGTTCATCTTTACATTTTGGAAGATTACTTCTGTAATGCATACCTGAGACCTCCTCACAATGAGAGAACCCAACTATAATTGAGGCTCACCCTTTGATTGGATTATCATAGAAATAAAAGATTCTCAAGTAATTGTTGAGTATATCCAATAAAAACAACTAATACAACAAAAGATGAAAGTGCATAGATGACATGGTACTATGCAAAGATAGTTGAGCAGGGTTGGCTTGCTAGGCTAACCCTCTTCAAAAAAGGAAAAAAAAAATGTAATAACTGTATAAAAGACAATGCATAGTTGAGCAGGGTTGGCTTATTTTTGAGTAGGCATGTAATAACTGTATATGGTAAACTGACCATCTCCTTCATAAGCCCTTTTTTTTCACCTTTGCAGTAACTCATCCATGCTTTCTGAAAAAAGCACAATACTATGCATTGTCTTTTATAGCTACTATCCATAAGCACTTAAAACACGCAGTCATCATCCTTAGGCTTATCTCTTACGTTGGTTATATGAATCCCTCTTCTCAACTAACTCCTGTCGAGATTTGCAAACTGTTTTAGCTCTACTTTTACTAAGTATTTTTGCTCAACCATTCATCATATTATGTTTAGTCTACCAGTACTGCAATTCCTTGTAAACACTTTAAGCAACCCTTGTTTATCTAATTTTAAGTGCATCCAATGAACATTCAGATCTCACATCCCAACCCAAACTATAAAGTAAATTAATCAAAAAGGAAATTTAGTTACTTATCTGTAAGGCAAAAGATTAGTCATACAAGTCAAAAATACCGACAACTTCAAACCATGACAATAACAAAATAAGGAATAACAAATCAAAGAAAAGAAAAAAGTTTGAATGGCAATAATGAAAGTGAATCAATAAAGTCAATTACAAGAAAATAAATTATTGAGGCATTAAATGATAGAGAACAAAATACAAGGGATGGTGCTAGAGTTCAACTTATCAGTTATCACATAGTAGCATGGTAACAATAGAACTGGTAGTAGGTTCCAACGTAGAGGTGCCCATTTAGCAGGCCTCACAGTTAATGGGAGAAAGATCAGGAGGGTTTTTGTAATTGAACAACAGAATTCTACTTGCACGAGTTGAAGTGGTGTTCTTCAAATATCAAGAAGAAATAGAATTTACCATTGTATGAACAAGTAGACATGAGTGGTGCAAGCAACAGTTGAGGATCTCTGACTGACATGCAGTTGAATATAAGTATCGGCACCTTGTTTCCAGGGAACATATAATAAAAAAGAAAAAGAAATTGCCAAATTTACTTTGAACAAAATAAAAACCCTCCACAAAGAATATTGCATGAATATCTAGACAAGGTAATGGAAATATCAAAGAAAATGAGATTTACCAGTCTAGCACTGCTACTATTCTCAGGCTGCTCATGGTGGTATATATACCGAGCAGTTTCTTTGGTAGCATTAGAAAACCATCTTGCACACACTACCATACTCTCTGGACTGTGTGCTCCATCTAAATAAAAAACCAAGCCACCAGGACCGAGTGTTGGGCTTTGGGTACTAAATATGGATCAGGAACTATTTGTGCTCGTCCTTGTAAACGGGACAGCGTAAGTCCCCTTATAAACTGTTCTGGTAGACTCTTCTATTACCATGTCGAACATTATTGTTAAATTCCTCAATGTTGAAGCCAAAAATTCATCCATTAAGATCAAGCTTACAGTGTTTTGAGTAAATATGCCTTCTGAATGTACAGTTCTCTCCAGCCAGCTGCGTGACATGGAAATGGCGAGGCCTGCATTTATATACTGATGCTCACCATCAAGTCCAAGTTGTTGGCCATCCAATAAACCTCTGTCCAATGGTGATGCAACTTGAAGAGAAATCTGTAGTGGATTAGATTAGATACCGTTGCCTAGGAATTCTACAGTTGCTCAAAAATTTGAGTTTTAACCATATACAAGATAGCTTAACCTAAAGTAAATATGGATATGTTAAAATGGCGCTTACCCCTAATTGAGATGCTTTAGCCTTTAGAGTAGACATTGCTTCTTCAGGCTGGGACACAGTGTAAGCTGGAACTCCTTGCTATGTCAATAAATAAAAAAGGGGAAAAGCAGAGCAAGAAAGTCATTTGAGATGAGAGACACAATTTAGTTGTAGCACAAAAATAACATCTCTGCATCATTAACCACCTTAAAGATGCCAGCCTTCTCCCCTGCAATTTCTCCCAGAGTATTGCCTGCTTATAGAAGAAATAACTAATAGACAGTGAAAACGAACGGCCATTGTCAATAATGATGACTACGTCTAATTTGCTAGCTTAATGTCGTTGATGCCTACAAACAAAATGTTCAACCACTAACAAGATGGGTTTGTTTTGATTAGAGAATGATCTAAATAAATCTTTGAACTATACTAGGTCAAAGGCTAAGAAGCTGAAAACTGCATGGAATTCCTGGAGGTTCCAACCAATTTCAAGAACCTTTATTCTTGCCTGGCCAAATTTATGCTGCTTCATTGAAGGTTTTTCTTTTTATTGTTATTGTTGTCTCTTAATGACTTTTGACTTTTGCTTATTTGTTCTCCTACCTTTTTGTTCATCTACTGTTTGATGATATTTTGCAGTAACTAAATCTTGAAAACTTTTATTTTTAATGCAACTTTTAGGACTGGCTTGTCCTACAAGCTTTCCTTCACCAAAAACAAATAAAATTATAAATTAAAAATAATTAATTAAAAAAAAAAAGATAACCATTATGAGACAAGACATATCTAGTATAGATGTCAAACTATTAGCTGCATGGCAAGGTTTTATGCATAATACTATTAGCCGGGTGATTAATCCAAGTACTTCTGTCTCCAGCTGTTTCTACAATGTAAACGCTGTGGCTCTAAGCATCAATGAGCCCTTAAGCGAATCAACATAATTCATAGACAAAGTAAATAAAGCTAACTACATATAAGGTACACCTACTTCAGTATGGACTCTGATTAAGGTAGTAAAAATTAAAAATAAATAAAAAAACAACATAAAATACTCAAGAACATGAAACAACATGGCATGCTAATCATGAATTGGACATAAAGTTTAACTATAATCATAGATCAGTCTTGTACATTACTTTTAGCCATTTGTAAAATTGCTTAAATAATAACATGGCATAACAACAAATGAGGTGATCTTACACCAATATAACTATTTAATGTATGTGTTCAGACCCCATAAAAGAGCAAAATAAGATAAATAATTCCCATCTTCATGATATCAATGAATAATAGATATCTGGAACTACAGCTTACCAAGTATTTCCATATGATCATATCCAAGAGAACAAATCCCACACACAATAGGTGTTCGAATCTGAATAAAGCTATTGAAGTCAACATTTCTTTTTCTAATGCCCAAATGATTAAATAATTAATCATTCAATCATACTACAGATTAGTAGCTTCAAAAAACTGATAATATTATAAAAAAAAAATGCATGTGAGAATAAAAGTACGTCCATTATCATGAATCACCATAAATCACAAAGTTCCAGTGTTTCTAGATAACATAATCCGTAATCCCATACCACATTAGTTGCATCAAATTTCCCACCTAAACCAACCTCCACAATGGCAACATCCACCTGCAATTTAAATGCAAGATAATCCATAATATAGACCCTGATCCATAACATTTGGCAATCCACGCATTGAAACAAAATTCAGCATTCAAGACAAAGGCAAAGCATTATATCTTTGCTAAATAAAATTCTTCATTAAGGGCAAAGGCCTTTTACATGTTTTCTACGTAGAAAATATAAAAATTGACCAAAATATATAGATGAACAAAGGAGCAAGATCCGAAGATGTGCACAAGTGTTGAAGCAATCTTCTATGTTCACCTCCAACATTACTTGCATAAGCATTCTATGTAGAACTTATTTTCTGCCACAAAAATCTTGAATGCAAGCAGTGCAAGGAAGCGGAAATAAGTTGGTATCGGCACATCATCATTTATTTTCTCCTGCACAGCAGAGAAGAAGGCAGTTATAAAATATCTCTTGCAATAAAGCAATACGTTCTCAGGGATGCGATAGGTTTTTTAACATTAGATAGAGCGTAAAATGTGTTATCCACAAACAAACTACAAGATAAACAAACCGAAAAGAATTGTGGAATAACTTAGAAAAGAACAATGAGGACTAACTTAGCATATTAAAAATGAATAATATCGATTGTTATGCATGGTAGATACTCTTCAATAGGAAGCCTTCAATTGAACTTAAATAGGAATCCTTCAACATGCTTAAAAACCTCAAAAGAACAAGATGCTTGATAATGATGCAAAATCCATAACAAGACGTGGCATGGAAAGAATATGTCAAAAAGTTTATTGAAAGCAAAACAAATAAAATTACCTGTAATATATCCCAAGACCAGAAGTATGCTGTAAATTTCTCCTCGGAAATATCCGTTCTGTGATATTCATGCACTGATGTAAGAACAAAAAATGTACTTCATGATAATAAGATCAATAAATGACCCTCTAGATAAAAAGAAAAAAAAAATCTAATATGGAACCAGTTTGTCGTTGATCTATTCCATTTTTTAAAGTACTCTAAGAGAATCAATCAAAACGAGAAGTCTCGTTGGAGGCCTAAAAAGAGATAATTGTAACTTTTTTTCATAAAGGACTATGATTTTGGTGACCGTATTCTTTTATTCTAAGAAAAAAAAAACTCATTTATTTTTCACTAAAATGTAAACAACCCAGTCTGGCCTTCCTTGTCTCACACAAACTGCTAGCAGACAGCGTTTCCCTGCACAGATTTTGCCCTCCCTCCCTCTGCTATTAGAAACACTATGCTCTATCCATTATCTTCGTTGGTGCCTCAGCTGTCACAGGTTTTATGACTCTGCACTCTCCTTTTATCCCATTGTTGTGAGCTTTCCATCGTGATCTTCTTCCTCATTAGTGAAAATGCTGGCCTTGTTGCTCTTTTATTTCTCTGCTCCTCCCGAGTTTGTAAAGAACAACTCTTTTCTCATTGAGCTCTTGCTTATGTGACAAGGTATGGTATAGGGTTAGTCATTCGTGTCTCCATCTTTTCTGACTTCTTCCTTCAGCCTCATTGCAATTAATTTATTGTTCATATATGTTCTCTTCAGAAACTTCATTGTGTTCTCTTTGGTCCTACGTTGCTTGAGCCGTTCTCCCTTTCTTTTCATTATGGATAGATATGTTAATTCCTTGTAATGTTCATACGGGTTTTGATAACATATATTTGGAGGTAGATTATACAATAAAGTTTATAATTATAGGTTTAACTTTAAATAATAATAAAAATTAATTTAGATTAATTATGATCTAGTTATGATTATCTACGGTGTAACAACATTAGTTGACTATTGTAATTTAACAACAAATTACATGTGTATGCTATTGATGGAGAGTCTAGGCATAACAAAAGAGGGGGAAAATTAGGATTGCATAGGAACTTTTGATCTTTTTTCAAAATTCTTATCAATTTAAACCCCTCATAATCAATCAAATGAAAAATAATAATTAAACAATCAAATCAAACACACAACATAAGTGAACTAACTTGTACGTGTATAAAGTAAAGAAAGCTTGTGAACAATATTAGTATTAAGCTTAATATTACAAATTTACTTCACCATAAAAGCTTAAAAATCTTGATTCAACAAATACTAACCACACGTGTCCCAAAAAATAGATAATGGCGGATGAAAAAATTTTATGCTTCCGAGAGAACTTTTTTTTTTTAAGCAAAGAAAATGTTAACTAACTGCATTAGAATAAGATGCACAAAACACATGAATCACCACATAGGCATTAAAAAAAAGCAATTAATTAAATATATAAGAAAGAGAATCAAAGCTATACAACAATGGACACGATTTTTATATAGTTTGGCACCCACTCAGCCTAAATCTACACCTCAGCCTTCCCCTGCTTAAGATTCCACCATAGGACCTACAACCATAAGCCAAACTACTTCAATCCTCGAGTAGATAAATAAACCTTTAAACAATGCTTTTTCAAGGAAGAGAGCAACCACTTCTTGTTTCAACCAGAGCACCCACTATAAGTTTTATGACCAAAGCTTCTTGAAATCTCTCTAAACTTGGCACATACAATGATCATAAAATTCCTAGCCAAGTTCTATTGAACTTTAGTGATGAACAGAGAAAATTACCAACTTATTTAGAAGTAACGCAATCTCTTGCAAAATTATTATAAAATATACAAGGGCAAACTAAAATATGCTTAAAGAGATTGAGAAAAAATGTTAACAAAATAAAGTTTTCAAGGATATTATTCTCAATGAACACTTAATTTTTCTCCTTTAAACCCTTTTAGTTAGCCTGACATTTCGAAAAATTAGAAATCATACATTCATTCTATTTTTTCTTAAATAAATAAGGTAATTATAAATTAAGATATTATCTTAAAATTGATGAGGACATCGACAGACGCTACCGACATGTTTATCGCCGCCGGCGAAACCGCAGATCGACGGCCACGATTCATCGCCTCTACTTTTGATTTAGATATCATGATGTAATTTATTATTAGCTTGTTTCATTTACTGTCTTTCCATTTTTACCCCTGTGGGGAGTTATTTTGTCATTGTAGCCCAGAGGGCAATTTAGTATTTTCACTTTGTATGAGTTGAAACCTATATATAGTGGTCTCTTGTATCATTTTGAGTTTAATGAATATTTGAATCAAATTTTGTGTTGTCTTCTTCTTCTTGCATGAGAGCTAGAGAAGGGTGATTGAGCTCAGGGTGAGCGTGTGCAATACCCACCAGTCGTTGGAAGCGTCCTCGACTCGTGGTTCATGTTATCTTCTTGTTTTCTTTTCTAAATTTCGATTCTCTTTTCTCCACCATAACCTCCATACGAGATCACATCACCCACCGCTTTACCCACTCGTTTTCCTCCACCATAACCCACGCCCCCTCAAGAATTTTCTCTAACCAACGGCAAGCCTCCCTCCTCCTTTGGCCGCCGGCCACCTCCATGCCCAAGCCATGATGGGGATGTTAATTCCCCTAACGGCTCCTTGATTGTAGCCTAGTAATAAATTTAGGAGTTACTCATTTTGAATTTCAAAATTTGAAATTCAAAACTTTCCATATTTGTCAAATTCCAAAAAAGGAAAGTTTTGAAATTGATCCAATGCAAATCTCATATCATGAGGAGTTACTAATTTTCATCCTAGGTTGCAACAACCTATTTGGGAAGTGCTTAATCTCTCCCTAACCTAGCCGCCGGCCCCATCAAAGGGGGAATTCCCTTTAAGACTTTAAGGTTAGTTAATGACAATTAAAGCTCTTGATTCAAATTTCAAATCCAATTTAACTCCCTCCAAATTTACTTGAAATCTGAAATTAAATTCAAATTTTTATAAATCTCCCCTCTCCCTCAACCATGTCGCCGGCCACCTAAGGAGGAATCCCATTAATGCAATTTTAATGCATTCATTACACCTATTTCAAAATCCAAATTCAAATTATTCTCCCTCCAAATTTAATTAAATCTGAAATTAAATTCAGATTTTGATTAAACTCCCCCCACACCTCCTCTTCACCTAATCTCCTAACCCTAGCCAACCTCTCACACCCATTGCCGCCCCTCCTTGCTCTCTTCCCCACCTTAGGCTGGCCCTCTCTTCATCCCCCTTGAGAGGTTGAGACAAAGAAGAAGACGACAACATTCCCCCCATCCACTTCAATGTTGAATGGCGGATCCCGAGCTTGAGTGGGGTCTTGTATTCAACGCCGACGGAAGCATCAACATTCTAAGATCTCCGTGCTTTGACGTAGGATTTGAACACGAGACCACCGTGGAAGAATATTTGGACCGAGTCGTCCCGATTCTTGCTAGCATCTTCGACCGACGATTTTCAAGCCACAATTGGAGCCTCGTAAGCCGCCCACTACCTCCTTCCCCGCCGTCTACTTTTCCACCAACAAGATTCTTCGGTGTCGCTTCTCTAGTGGTAATATCCTTCATCACTAGGATCTTCTTTCTCCGCTAAAAGCCTACTATTAATTGAGAGAAACGGCCTCAAGGTGAAATTCTCATTGTTAAGTGTTGGATTTTGTTGATTGTATTTAGCATTTAAATCTCCTTGAAATTTGAATGAATAGCTTTGGTTAATTTCTCTATTGCTAATCTTTGGCCTAAGCAAGTTAACTTTTCTAATTCTTAACTCTATCTTGCATAATCGAAATAAACTTATAAGAGCAAACTTAAACAATTCTCTTTTTAATTTTAATCGTAACTCCTAGTAGTTTCACATCAAAAATAGTATACAAATAAGCTTAAAAGTAATACTAAAAACTTTCTAAAAGAGCCCAAATAGCTCGCAAAATCTCCTACAACAGCTAATCAAGTTGGACAATACCGGATGGATTGAGCATGTCATCGCCAGATGAGGTCGTGCTACTAACACACTCTATTTTAGCATGTTCTAGGAGCGACAATGAATATAATTTTAAAAACTATTAAATATATATAATAACTGAATCATTTTAAATGCAAACTATAACATATTATACATGAAATTATATCTAATAACTCAATGAATTCAATGGAATCAAAATTAAGCTCGAATTTATGAAGTATAATAAATTTATATAGTTATCAATATGAAGATCTAATTAACTATAAAATAATTAAGTAAATTTAATGAATTGAATGAGATATATAGAATCAATTAAAACTTACCAACATAGAAAACCATAATTAAAGAATATGAATCATATTATCATTAAATTTACTCAATCAATTTACATTGAAAATTTTTAAATACACTATAAGAAAATTAACATTAAATCTCTAACTTGCGCTCAAGTTTTCTTGAATTGTATATCTTGAGCTCATACTACAAATACTCCAAATTAGCCTGGTGAACAGTCACCATCACCATAATTGATAGTAAATTATTAACTTGAAAGAAAATATTTATTGAATAAGTAGATAATACAACATAAAATTTGTTATCATCAAATCATTATTAAGCCACAAATTAGTTACCTAGGGCAAATGAGAGCTCTTATTATTTAAGATCTTCGGGTTGGTCAACATCTAGTGTGTCCTTTTGGATCTCAATTGAGCTTTGGATTCCCGCTTTGCACACTAAGGTTTAACTTTCAATTGTCAGAAAATAAGTGCACGCTTCTTTATTTGAGTTCTCCATCATGTTCACTCCCGCACGCATGCACCATAGTATGCGATGGATGAAACTACCAATAGTAACCTCATATAAATATGTAAATCTAAAAGATCACCTAAATATTTCATTCAAACCTTTATCATCCTTGTGATCACTAAAATTATGATTTATTTAAACTATCACTAGCTTGCTTAAGCCATATTAGCAAGAATATTTTTCAAAGATATGTTATGAAGGGCCCTCTCATTACGTCCCGACAGGGGTATCCTTTAAAAAGCCTTCTAGGAACGCTTATTGAGAAAAACTCCCAATGGTCTCGGCAACCTCCACTTCATCCAACAAATCTCCAAAAGTATGAATCTTCTTGAGCCTTCCATTGGCTCAAATTCCAAATATTATTTATTGAAGATCCCACCAAATTCATCAAATATTCCACACCATAGGATGAACACCCATATTATTGTAGAGCAAAACTAGTGAACCACGTTCAAGAGTCCTATAGCACACAAAATCATGAATCTTCCTAAGCCTACTACTAGCTCAGGTTCCAACAATCATTTATTGAAGATCCACCTAAAATCATCGCATTATGCCACACCATGTGATGAGCATCCAAATTTATTGTGTAGCAACACTAGCGAACCACGATTAGAAGTCTTATGCCGCACATTTATTTTCTAAGAGATCAAAACCATCAATTGCCCACCAGCTCAACTACATTGTCACACTTTGCAACCTAACCAAAGCTCTAAGTGCAGCAATGCTTCATACATTGACACACTCAATGCCCATTGCTTCTTATGAGATCTACTAATCACAGCCATGTTATATCCATTAGGCATAATAAGCACTAAGCTACAAATTAGTACTCTTAAAATTGCTACAAATACCCCTTAATTGAGACTAATTAGATGTTAAAAGTAGGGTCGCACACCTATCCATCATTTAAGTAAAAATTTGCTCTTCTACCAACTTTAATGCAAGAGAAAAGTTGTTTTGCTGTACCTTCCACAGCCTTCTCCAAGGATTCTCTCCTTTCATCCTTACCTCAGGCCTTCAAAGCATGGTTCGAGGTTAATGGCTTCTAGGATATTTCTTTCAAAGCTCATAAAGTTCCTCTATGAACCATTACATTAGCAAGAATGCTGGGGTGATGACATGACTTTATCTTCTTCTTTTCTTATCATATATTGTGTTTAAGTTGAACCTTTACAATGAATTTAATCCATCATTACAGTCTGTTTTCTTCTTATAAGTGCTATCTAGAACATACCTAAAGGTTCAACAAAACATATTTGGTGATAAAATAATCACCATTTTTTGTCATCCCTATCATGTAATATTATTCTAACCGAATGCTACGACAACATTAGTTATACTGATATTGCATTGTCAATTGTGCCTATTTTATTGTTCATGTTAACATAGTGTGCCTTGTTGTTTAAACTTTAATAAATAGAAGCTATCTGATGAGTTTGGATGGAAAACACATTTTAGTTAATTTTTTCCTTAGCAGATTCTACCACGTTGATTGGTGGATCCTCAAAACAAGCACAAGTTTTTAGCACTATGTATTCTGATGATATAGTATCTGTCTTAAGTTGTAGTTTCCTGTTTAGACGCTTCTAAGTTAACTGTTGCATTTATAGTTTGTTATTTTATTTCCAATAGTTGATGTTTTTTTTTTTAATGAAGGAATATTAAAATTCTATTGATTAAATAAATTTTTATTTCATATATTTATGATTTAAAATTTTTCTTGCATATGTTATTTATGAATCATTTTTTCCCTTGAATATAAAACTACATTACTTTAACTTTTTTTTTTTTTTTTGGTCTCATTGAGATTAATCCCCTTTATCAGACCTCCATTTGTTAAGATGTGCTATCTTCTGAACTTGGGGTATGGCAACAAAAAACAAACTCACAAATAATTTTGCAAAGCAGCTGAACATCGTTAAAAAATTCATTTCAGAGAATCTCCCGTCCTTTATTATTGACAAAGGAATATTATCGTAAAGAATGATAGATAACAAGAAATACACCAGTGGACCCTTAATGATGACTAGATCACTACAGGCCAAATAATTTTGCAAGGAAATATGAACTAGTTGGTAAGTTAAAAATGAAAACTCTATTACAGAAATTACTTCATAGTTTGACAGATAACGAGCCTAAGTAAATTGGTTAATGCTTTGATTGCTTTCCATTCTTGGGAAACTATTGCGTTTTTTAATCAACAAAAGAAATATCTGAACTGAATTCAAAAATAGAGTTCAATGTAAACAAACGCTGTACTGGCTCAGGAACTCAATTCTAACGTCCTCTACAAATTAACTGGTCTTAATCATCGCCTCATCGGTCCTAAATACTAAGTAAAGAAATACCGGCCACTTAATTAGATATACGGAGAAAAAAAAAAACTTTAAAACAAGTAGATCGGCTAATGGTCAAATCGAAAAAGTTTACAGCATACAAAAATGCACAAATTAAAATCCAAATACTAACCCATCTAATCGGAAGCGCTCCCGAACATCAATCAAGTGAGGAGAGGTGAAGAGGCCAGTGTGAAATCCACAGTTCCGCAAAATGGACTCCGTGAATGCACATGTCGAACCCTAACAAAATCCAATCCAAGCAAAGAACTAACATAAATTTTCTTACAAAACCAATACGACAGCACTAAATCCTTTCAAAATGATTTAAATTCTTCCACCTTCCCTTTAGTTCCAGCGACGTGGATAACCTTCAAACGTGACATAGAATCTTCCAGCTCCAAAATCTGCCACCCATCCAACTCAATTCAGTTCAAACCAAAACGATATCAGCATCATAGCACCAAATATGAATAAATGGAAACATACTGTACCTTCAAGTATTCGAACATCAGATCGAAGTGGTCGCCCTTGTTTGCCCCATCGGCTCTGGTGCGTCGAGTAATCAAAGAGGACAAGCAATTGAGAGCTTCCTCGTACGTTCGCGCCGGCTAACCAGGTTCGCCTTCACCATTTGAAGCCATATGCGCCTTCAACATTCTCAAATCCTGGACTGTGGGCAAAGTAGGATTGCTTGCCTCGGGCCATGCCGTCCGTGCAAGAATGGCGGGAGGAGATGAGGATGGTGATGAGTAGCTCGTCGAGGAGCACAGAATCATAGCGTTCCGTGGGACCAATCTACATCATTCGGTGGAATCTAATAATATATAAACGCTTATAATATATTATTTCAAATTATGATCAAATTTAAATGAAAATATGCTTGCATAAATTTTTTTTTTTTATATAGAACAGGTATTTGGATCTTCTCCTATCATACATAATAATAATTATAAATTTGTTATTATTTTATGCAAGTGAAATAATTATTTTGAATGATAGAACAATTTTTTCCAAATTTATATTTTAGTTTTAATTAACTGCACAAACATATCTATTTTCTGCAAATCATATATTTCATTTTAGACTATAAAATATTTGTTTTCAAAAGCTGAAACTAATCTAAGGCGTCCAAAATGATTTATAAAGATGCAGTGAGGTTATTTTAATTGTTCGTTATTTGAACTACTTTGTTTAGATATTATAACTTATGTTATATTTGGGACTATTTTTTTAATGATTATTAAAATAATTTTTTAATAAAAAAGTAAAAATTTTATCAAAAAAATTTTATTGAGTATTTTATCAATAAATACTCGACTCTAAGTATTATTGAATATTTTATAAATATTTATTGAGTATTTATTAATTTATTACGCATTCATTTAATATTTGCTCATTATTGTAAATTAAACAAATACTTAGTGAATATACAATCAGTTATTTCTGTACGGACTCCACATAAAATATTTTTTTTCAACATAATGACATTTAATTTATACAAATCAGCCACAATGATTAAACTTCAGTGCAATCTGCTACAACAGTACAGACCTAAAGCTATGAAATTATATGATGTGACAAAAATTTACAACAAATAATAAACATTATTGCGGTACAGTGATATGAAGTTTTGGTAATTACAGCGATGGATCATGTAAAATTGACGTCAACCTAATATCCACGCATCTGCTTACTTTTGCCACAGTAACAGAGTGAGAAACAACAATGTCAAGTATCACTGAAACTGTTCTCTTTCAAGGTTCAGCTAGCCCGAGCTCCTTACACATCTGTTCATCAGGTCGCAAAGTCTTGGGAATTGCACCGAAGGCCCGGCGCGCCACCTCTATTCCAGAAACAGTGTTGTGTAAAATTGCAGAAGCTTCCTCCACACCCTTTGTCAACTCCTGCGAAGAAAGAGACATAAAAGGCTTCGAAGTCGAAGGAACAAACTCCTCAGAAATATTCCAATTAAGCTCAGCAACCTTCACGAATCTTTCCGTGGCAGCTTCCCAAGAGAGCTTGCCCCTGAGCTCGTCTGACACTGGTGAAGGCTCTTCGGAGAGAGCTTTGAGAGTCAATTTCACAAATTCTTTGCCACTATTGTAGGTATAGCAGTTAGGAAATTGTTTGAAGAAGTCGTTTGAAGGATGATTGGCACAGATGACTAATTTACCCATTGCTAATGCTTCTGCTGTTGTTGTACAAACTACATCGGTTGTGCTGGGATTTATGAACACTCTGTAGCTGCAAGAGAGAATCAAACTCAATTGTTGCAGGGCAATGATGAAGAAAAGTTCAACAAGAATTTACAAGTTTGCATAAAATGAACTTGAGTTAATGGGGAAATTATTCTGTGCGGAGTCCGAATGTAAAGGATCTTCCGGATTACTGCATATCCTATGCTTAAGCTCTGCCTACGCTCTGCGTATTTATTACATAAATACTGCATATTTATAGATACGCATTAAATAAGCAGCAAATATTTAGTTGTGAGGATTTGCTGTTTATTTGTTGTGTATCTACAAATACGCAGAGTATAAGCAGAGCGTACGCAATACATCCAATAATCCGGATGCATCTCTACATTCGGTGTCTGCACCTAATAATTTCCCGAGTTAATGAGAGGAACATGATGAGATTTGATAAGAATTGCATTAGCACAGGATATGTGGTGTTACTTGTGAAATAATGGGTCAGCGTGATCGCGACCAGGATGAATATTTATTGTGAGATTTAACTTTTTTGCTGATTCTTTAACTTGTTCAGAATCTTCTCCACTCCCAAATAAATCAACTTGAAGATCAGATAATTCATTTTGGTACTTGGAGAGCAATTGAAGTAACTCCTTGTAACCTTTGCTCCAGACCATCTTCCCAATATAGTAAGCGCCTTTGATAAAGGCTGGCTCACCTCTTTGCTGCTGCCTGTGCTTTGCCATGCCAATCTCAAGAAACCTGGGGTTGACACCATGAACATTGCAAATGATGGATCTAGGTAAATCTTGAGTTGCCCCTGATAATCTTATAACCTGAAAATTAAGGAAGCTACATCATTATTTCATCCAAAAACCACTGATGATTAACATAATCCATCATAATTACTCCCTGAGTAGTTAGTACAGACTTGGAAAAAGAAGGAACACGTAAAAACTAGTCCTATTATATATGTCTGTAAAACATGTAAAGTTAGAATTTGAGACACAGCAGCACCTCTTTTTTCTTTTTTTTTTTCTTTCATTAGCTCTGATAATGTAGAGACAGCAGCACCTCATTTGAAGAGAAAAAGGCTAGATTGTGACCATAATACCAAGGTATGTTGAAAAGATTTGCATATTATGATAGGCTTATAAATCTTATAATTAAATATTGTTTTCCTCAGGAATATTTGTTCCAAGTTAATAAGATGTAATTTTCTTTAAATCCCACAAAGCACTGCCATGAAGTTTTCCTCAACCTGCATGTCAATAAGGTAGTCTTTTGGACAACAGGAATGGAAAGAATGAATCAACACTTCTGGCTGTGATCATACGCTCTTAGGATACAGGCCCAGATTGTCAATCGTAGCACAACATGAGGGTATTACCCATTCTCCCAATAAAGACTTCATCCTGGTTACCCGTGCACAGCTACATAAGAGTTTCTTGTTGCCAAAGGAGGTAGCAAAGTTAAGCAGATTAAACCTAACTATACTCCTATACAACGTAACCCTTCTATCACACCCCGGATCAGGAAGATGGTACACCCGACAACACGGGACGTGGCAAAGGAATAAAAAGTCAGTTTTGTACTCATAAGAAGAAAAAATAGATGAACCAATAATACAACCAAATATATCAAAGTAAATAGTAGAAAGCAAATTAAATATTTATTTCATTATATGAATTCAAATAGCAATACACCAAAGCAATATGACTACTATAAGCAAAATAAATCTGAAAGAAATAATAACATGAAAGAAATTACCCAACCTTGAAATCAAAATGCATAATAATCTCTTACAAAATATAAAATATCAAATACAGTCTATTGTTGACTAATATGCTCATGAGTTCTTTTCCCTATATAAAGTTCATTTCTCTCTCTTCTCTTTCTTCTTCTTCTTCTTATATTTCTAGTCCCCAAATTAATAGCCTTTTTATTTATAATGTGAAATAAGATTTTATTCGTATTGATTTTGTATAGTCCCCAAATTACAAATATTTGGGCTTTAACTTCCATGGGAGAAATCCTTATTTCTGATTGATGATTCAAGTGGATTAACCATATATAACCTAGAGTGACAATTCTATAGGAAATTACTATATTTTTTTGGGTTGGTGTTTACCTTACCAATGATGGATATTTGATAAACCGATTATAGCTATATGCATATAAATGTATAGATATATAATTAACATAAATTGAAAATGATTAATAATTTATATGTTATTTGGAGGTACAATGATATCTAGTGTTGTTGGGTTTATAAACATTAAAATGATTTGGCTTTAGTAGTAATTTGTCACATATACTTATAGAACCAGCATGCTAGTCGTAGGAATCATGAAATATAGCATTGTTATACTGACACGTTGATTTCCAATCGCTACTCCTAACTGTTGATTGATCATTATTGCATGTCATATTTCTTTGTCGTTTCTACTTTGATAGATAGGAGCTATTGGATTTGATTTATCAAATTCATTTGTTGTTGTCTCTTTACAAGAAGTCATGTAATTAACGAACCGTCTCCTCATGAGCAAATTTATTAGCAATAAAATATATTTGATATTTTATGTTTAGTAGATTATTATGCATTTTGATTTTGAGTGTTGGGCAGTTTCATTTCTGTTGTTATTTATTTCGGACTTATTTTGCTTATAGTAATCATATTGCTTTAGTGTTATTTAAATTCATATTAATGAAATGAAAATTTAATTTCCTTTCCATTATTTACTCTGATATATTTGATTATATTATTGATTTATGCACTTTTCCTTCTTGTGAGTGCTGAACATGACAGTTTATTCTTTCATCGTGTCTCGTGTTGCTGAGGTGTACCACCTTCTAGACCCAAGGTGTGACACCTTCAATGACACCTATTTTCATGGAGAATAAAAGCACAGCGAAGGCAGATGCTTTTGTGTTAGCTGCAACCTCATTTAATTTGACTGATTGACCAGTACATCATATAAAAATTCATATTTATAAATGTTTGTGCATTGAAGACTCTAGGGACAAATATATTTCAAGCTTCCACGCTTTATCCTTATATTTTTGCACTGCATGCCATTTCTCATCAAGAATATATAATCAACTAGGCAATAGATTTATGTCAACTTGTCTTTTGACTACTTATGAATAACCAGATATTAACTCTGTGTAATTGATAGGAAACGTTTGTAGAAACAAAAGTTCTCCAGGCTGAATTTAAAATTCAGCACTCGGCAAAAACAAATTTGAGATAAATTGGAAGAAATAATCAAGAAGAAATCTTTTTAATTGATAATACAAGAAGAAAGCCGGTCCAATATGTTGGCTAGGTGCTCAAACTACCCACGGTATTCCACCACTATACCCTCCTGCGTCAGGGCGAAGAACAGCTCATAGAAATCCCCTCCTTAGCTGGTTTTAAAACATTCCAACAAGCAATCCTTAAACTCCCTTCAGGTCCAAATAGATCACCTTGTATCCCTCCATTGGTACCATGCCAACGCTTTCCCCTCCAATTAAGCACATCCCGACGGTTGTTAGTCTCTCCTCCTCTGTCAACCTATTGACGGCAAAATACCTTTCCATCATGTAGATCCACGCATGTGCATCCCCTCCCTCAAAAATAGGCATCTTCAACTTCCTCACCCTCAAATCTCCTCCATCACCCCTGCTTCCTCCAAAGTTTCCCATTCCCCAAGGAGGTGGGGTTCCCCCCAATTGTGTTAATCATCCCTTCTCCACTCGCACCCAAACTTTTCATCACAAGTCCACCTTCTCCATTCAAATTCAGCACCCCTTTGATGATATTCAGCCCCTCCTTTCCAATTCGCACCCCTTCAATCATAATCAAGCATTCGCCTTTCAAATCCAGCCCCACTACTTTCAAACTCAAAACCCCTTCTCACACATGCCCAACCCCCTCAGCCTCTCCACATACCCTCTACCCGACTCCTCCCTAGGAATAGGCCCTAAGTGAGGTATTTTTTCTACTCCTTCCAAAATCTCCAACTCCTGGTCTTCTCTTTGTAAGAATGGCTTAAGGTTTTCCTAACTTTCATGGCTGTCGGCGGCTTCTCTCTCCTCTGACGGTGATGGTTTGGTTTGGCCCTCGAGCAATTTCTACAGCATATCCTCCATGATGAAAAATTTCAGGTGGATCTTCTCATGGACGATTGAAATTTCACATTTTAAATCTGAAACTTGAGTTTGGATATATGAAATTTCAAATTTCATTTTTCTAATCTCCCCTTCCAATACTTCCACCTTTCTTCTCACCATAGGTCCCCGGATCTTTGTTAGACTCAAAAATCCGGAATTCCACCCCAAAAACAGCAACAATATCGGTTCGAAGGAGAAAAATTGTTGTAGGAATCAGCCCAAACAACCACGGACACATCTCTGATACCAATTTGATAGGAAACATTTATAGAAACAAAAGTTCCCCCGGCTGAATTTGAAATTCAGAACTCATAAAAATAGATTTGAGAGAAAATTGGAAGAAATAACCAAGAAGAAATATTTTTAATTGATAATACTGGAAGAAAGACATAAGATACAATTGGATCTTCAATTAGACAAAAAAATCCAGCTCTCCCAACTCTCTAGACACCGCTAGAGCCCAAAAACAGTGAGAACAACAAAATTCAGCCAAATTTTCGATCCCTAATCATAGAAAAATATACTACTTAATGCATATAATCCAAAAGAAAATCTCTAAACAGCGCCTACTTTCAAATTTCCCTCATAAAACTGTTAGGAAACACTTGGTTTGCAAGTGACCCTAATCCAAAACAGTAAAAATACAGCAGCAGTTTGCTGTCCCCAGCAGAAAAACAGCAGGAATATAGGGAAAACCGCTCGAAAACACAAGTAGAAGGCCTGTATTTCACTAGAAAATGAATAAAATAGCAAGATACAATTGATCCTCAATTCGAGAGGAGGATCGATCTCTCCCAAATCTCTAGACGCCGCTAGAGCCCAAAGAAATCCTCAATCTACGAGATCTCAAATTTCAGCCAAATTCAAGATACCCAAACCCTAGGAAAAACATCTATTTAATGCATACAAATCAAAAGGGAAGAAATAATCAAGAAGAAATCTTTTTAATTGATAATACAAGAAGAAAGCCGGTCCAATATGTTGGCTAGGTGCTCAAACTACCCACGGTATTCCACCACTATACCCTCCTGCGTCAGGGCGAAGAACAGCTCATAGAAATCCCCTCCTTAGCTGGTTTTAAAACATTCCAACAAGCAATCCTTAAACTCCCTTCAGGTCCAAATAGATCACCTTGTATCCCTCCATTGGTACCATGCCAACGCTTTCCCCTCCAATTAAGCACATCCCGACGGTTGTTAGTCTCTCCTCCTCTGTCAACCTATTGACGGCAAAATACCTTTCCATCATGTAGATCCACGCATGTGCATCCCCTCCCTCAAAAGTAGGCATCTTCAGCTTCCTCACCCTCAAATCTCCTCCATCACCCCTGCTTCCTCCAAAGTTTCCCATTCCCCAAGGAGGTGGGGTTCCCCCCAATTGTGTTAATCATCCCTTCTCCACTCGCACCCAAACTTTTCATCACAAGTCCACCTCCATTCAAATTCAGCACCCCTTTGATGATATTCAGCCCCTCCTCTCCAATTCGCACCCCTTCAATCATAATCAAGCATTCGCCTTTCAAATCCAGCCCCACTACTTTCAAACTCAAAACCCCTTCTCACACATGCCCAACCCCCTCAGCCTCTCCACATACCCTCTACCCGACTCCTCCCTAGGAATAGGCCCTAAGTGAGGTATTTTTTCTACTCCTTCCAAAATCTCCAACTCCTGGTCTTCTCTTTGTAAGAATGGCTTAAGGTTTTCCTAACTTTCATGGCTGTCGGCGGCTTCTCTCTCCTCTGACGGTGATGGTTTGGTTTGGCCCTCGAGCAATTTCTACAGCATATCCTCCATGATGAAAAATTTCAGGTGGATCTTCTCATGGACGATTGAAATTTCACATTTTAAATCTGAAACTTGAGTTTGGATATATGAAATTTCAAATTTCATTTTTCTAATCTCCCCTTCCAATACTTCCACCTTTCTTCTCACCATAGGTCCCCGGATCTTTGTTAGACTCAAAAATCCGGAATTCCACCCCAAAAACAGCAACAATATCGGTTCGAAGGAGAAAAATTGTTGTAGGAATCAGCCCAAACAACCACGGACACATCTCTGATACCAATTTGATAGGAAACATTTATAGAAACAAAAGTTCCCCCGGCTGAATTTGAAATTCAGAACTCATAAAAATAGATTTGAGAGAAAATTGGAAGAAATAACCAAGAAGAAATATTTTTAATTGATAATACTGGAAGAAAGACATAAGATACAATTGGATCTTCAATTAGACAAAAAAATCCAGCTCTCCCAACTCTCTAGACACCGCTAGAGCCCAAAAACAGTGAGAACAACAAAATTCAGCCAAATTTTCGATCCCTAATCATAGAAAAATATACTACTTAATGCATATAATCCAAAAGAAAATCTCTAAACAGCGCCTACTTTCAAATTTCCCTCACCAATTTGTTAGGAAACACTTGGTTTGCAAGTGACCCTAATCCAAAACAGTAAAAATACAGCAGCAGTTTGCTGTCCCCAGCAGAAAAACAGCAGGAATATAGGGAAAACCGCTCGAAAACACAAGTATAAGGCTTGTATTTCACTTTAAAATGAATAAAATAGCAAGATACAATTGATCCTCAATTTGAGAGGAGGATCGATCTCTCCCAAATCTCTAGACGCCGCTAGAGCCCAAAGAAATCCTCAATCTACGAGATCTCAAATTTCAGCCAAATTCAAGCTGCCCAAACCCTAGGAAAAACATCTATTTAATGCATACAAATCAAAAGGAATTCCCTAAACAGTCCCTACATTCAAATTTCTCTCTGAAACCCCCCAAAAATCCTTCCTAAAACGCTCTATATGAGCGGTCGGCCGCTCGTTCTGGCGGAAATCTCCGCCTGTTCTGAGATTCCGTCCGTGAACCGGTCCCGCCTGGACCGGTTGGACCGGTCCAGTGGAACGGTCTAACAAAAACCTTCCTAACCAAAGCAGCTGGTCCCCACGGCTTGGGCGGCAATAACTCCTCATCATGTAGAAACTGGACGGTCTAATGACCAGTCTAACACTCTAACAGTAATCTTTCATCAACTTTTGTTACAAATGAGAGGCAAATGAGAGACGATAAGGCCAGTTCTTATTTACTATCAAGCATAAACACATGGAATGAGAAAAAACAGATCACAAAATTGTTACCATATCTGGTAACTACTTACCTTCAAAAGTTGCTGGGAAGTAAATAAAAATTAGATTTACATTTAAATAATAATAAAATCTTTGAGTTCTTATTCGAAAATTACCTTATGGCAGTTTATAAGAATAACCCAGTTATTAATGTATCTCAAGAAAAAGGCCTGTATATAGCCATTCCTTTCTCTCTTCACATATTCCAAATAGTTGGTGTGCACAACACCAATGACTCGACGAAATTTTGTTTTCCACCTCTGTCCATGATGATACCACGTAAGATGTTCAGGTTCCTCTAGTACAGCAATATCTGCAGTCTCATTAGGAATTGTTTCTGTGATATCGCCGACTGGTAGAATGCTCCTCTTCTCTATTGAAAACTAGCCAAAAGATTAAACAAAATTCATTACAAAAGAACAACGTCAAGATGTTAGCAATGCTCTTGATCTTTAAATGTTAATTGACCCAATTCATCACATAATTAAAACATGTGATAGGAAGCCCTAATTATAATAAAAAGCGTGGTATTTTATTTATCTTTGTCATAGTTTTGTCAAGAATCAGCAGGTAGACCTCGGGCTTCGTTTGGGACAGCTTTCTTGTTGCTTCTTAAAGCAGCTTTCTAGTATAAAAAATTTAATTTTTTAACTAAAAAGCTGCTTTAAGAAGCAACAAAAAAGCCGTCCCAAACGAAGCCTAAATCTAATTTGACATTCATTAAACCTTAATCTTTAAATTTTATGCAAAAGGCATTTGATAACATATGATACTCATTTTATAAAATAAAGTAATCGTGAAGAAAGAAATTATAGACCATAGAATTAAAAAAAGCGAGGGAATCAACTTATCATAAGAAGTAACAATATATGGAAATAATAATAGCAACCATGATATTACCTCCTGTTTTTGAAGTATGAATCTTTGTTATATGGAAGAAACTTGCTTTTTTATTAGTTTAGGCATGTTGTTCTTGAAGTAGACTATACAAGCATGAGCATTTGGACTACTTTGATAGAAAACAAGTTTATAATTTAGGAAATATTTCGGTTCTTTCGGAAATTCAATTTTTAGCATTCATCAATCAATCCTTTGGTCTAGTAGAATTGTAAATCAAGTTAACGAAGAGAGTTGAATCTTCAAATTACGTAGAATGGATAAAACAATTCATTCTTATCAAACAGTTGAGATAAGTGAAATTGGCATTTCCTTGTTCCGGGGTTTAAAGTCCTTTGAACCATGTGAAATCATTGTGTTTAGCCATTACTTAATGATTCTCACTCCCATTTCAACAAGGAAGTAGCATGCTTGTTGTGTGCCAGAACATTTAAGGCGGTAGAGAGATAAAAAGTTGGTTATCTTCGTATTTGTACGAAAATCCAACACATACACATGTGAGAGAGGAATGCAAGAATTGTAAGAAACACAAGAGTTTTTATGTTTCAAAAAAAGGAAAGGGAAAACCTTGAGGCCTAACCCAATTAAAATGATTCCATTAGTATTTTTTATCCGTTACAAGTGATACAATTCCTTTAGGGATAACATGATTCAATGTAGTAAATATACAATGTATATAACATATTACGCGGTTGAAGCTGGGATTAATCCCATAGGAGCTGTCTTTAAGAGGTCATTTGTTTGTTTGTTTGTTTGTTTGGTCATATCCCTTTGCGGAGAGAAGACCAAAGGCGAAGAAGCCAACATAAATCCCCGTAATGACGTCTGGAAACATAATTAGTATCGATGGCATGCATCAATCTTATAAATAATGACATGTATTGGCATTATTAGCGATAGCAGGCGCTAATTTCAGCGGGTATCGATGTAAGTAGGGATCAATGGTCAAAAGATTGTATGACAAAGGACTGTAATTGCGCGGTGGAAGTCGGAGGACCTTAGTCAGAAGATAGTGGTTAGAGGATGGTATTGGTCAGACGATGACAATCAGGTTGTGGTCTGATGGTGGACTGGTGGTCAAGATGTTTGATTTGACTATAAGATTTAAAAATCGTTTGGTCATTCAATTAATGTCATGAAGTTTATAATTATGCTTCAAGTGCTTAATTTGGGCTCATTTGGACTTGAATTATAGCATTTTTTTTATTGTTGGGTTCACCTCATTGAGACGATTAATTTGACAATAAGTTTGCTAAAATCTGCTTTAGGATGGTCCCAAATTTAATTTTGAAAATTTATAATTCAAATATGTATTGAGATTCATGCTCAATATAGGCAATTTTTCGATAAAGTATCAAGACATATACCATTTTTTGTAAGTGTACAAAATATTGAATCTGTTGTGATGCATGTATAATTGAACCAACCTAAAATTTTGACAAAATTGACTTTTTCTATTGACCCAAGAGCCTAAAGCTGCATTACATTATTTTGATAATCACAAACATAATTTGATTAAGTTGTTTTAACCTAATTCATTTGTATGCAAGGTTTAGTACTAATAACTGCAAGTGAACGTAGAAGCTAAGATGCAAATGTTATGCATAACTATGAAACATACAAGACTCAAATGGAGAATGTAACTCAAGACAAAGGTCCAAGATCAAAACTTAAAATGAGTCGGTAGAAATCTAGATCAAGAGCTGAATGAGCTTAGTTCTACTATTGTTCTTTTCTTCTTCTTCTTCTTCTTCTTCTTCTTCTTCTTTTTTTGAGTCTTATATGTGTATTCCAAGTATAGAAATTGGTCAAACAACAAGCACATACATGAGTGAAGTTAACAAAACAATTACTAACAAAAATTTTAATTAATATAAATTGACCACAACAAACCATATTATACGAAATCAATTATATTGCCTGATAAGCCTTATATTCAAAAAATTCAAAAAGGATTTGCATTAAATAAAAGAATTTAAAATTAATATCTTAAAATAATTGTATAGTACAATTATATCTAAATTTTAGATTAAAACCTCCATACAACATTTTTCATAATTAGATTAATTTTAAAACTTGAATAGTTTCTATTATACGATGCATATCAAACTATACAATTTATTCCTAATTTAGCCTAATTAAGAAGCATGAATTAAGGGGTTAATTATGTGTATCAGGCTTAACTGATCGTACTATACAATTTATGTCATACAGAACGATCAACTAGAACTTGATTTCACAAAACTTGCCTATTTTGAGTAATTGTACAGCACGATCATCATGCTGCACGAACTGTCATATTTTCAGAACACTCGTTGTAGGGTTTGATTATTGAGCACTTGATATAAACACTCTTTTAGAAACCCTATAACTTGTGTGAGGACAGGAAATTAGAGAGGAAAAAAAAATAAAGGAGCTGCTTTTGGGAAAGATTATTTTCATTTTGATTTGAAAACCCTAAAAAAATACATCCTGGTGTGAGAGGGCACCTGTTGGTTGTTTTCCTTTACCCTTCCACCTTAATCCTCCAATTGTGTTATGTGGCTTATGAAGGGCTTGTTATACTGAAGTTGTAAGGGATCCATAAGATATCAAAATTTGTTTTGGTGCATTGGTTGGCTAGTTAGTGGGCTAGAGTAGTGATCTTCTCATCTTCTTAATTGGAATAGAAGAAGGTGTAGAGTTTATCTATTACCCATCAAGAAAATGGGGCTTATCTGCCCTGACAGTGATCAAAGGAGAGAGTAGTAAAACTTTAAATTAGAAGGCACAAGGCGTGGACATGAGCGTTAGTAATTAACTATGTTAGAAATCAACTTATGATCTTTCTTTTGACTTTACTTTCTTGCACTGTTACTTATGCTTACTTGCTATTCTTAATATATGTGCTCAATGGAAGAACTAGTGATAGATGATTGAGGCTAATAAATCTCTAATCTACTCTTAATTTGTGGCAATTGTTTTGTGAAATCTAGTAAAATAATATTACTAGTTATTCATATTTAAAATTATCTCATCGGTTGTTTTTATTTATTTTAACCTTTAAAGAAAAACAGAATCCAAAAAGATTTTATATTCTCGTTGATTTAAAAATTTGATATTTTGTAGCACTCATTTTTAAGTAGTTGCAAAATGCACACAAAGATTCCCCAACACCCCCCCACCCCACCCCACCCAATTCACTTAAATTTTAATTAGAAAATGTATTCAAATCAAAACTCTCCATTTATAGATGAGAATAATGAATCCTAATATCAAGCAAAGCTAGTTTCACTCAAGCCTGTTGCTGAATGAGTGGAGCAATAAATCAACAGAATCGTGCATGATATGAAATTATCATATAGTAACAAAAGCATATCCTATATAAAAAATTCATATACAAAAGGCTTAGAATTTTTAATCAATATGTGGATCAAGCGGGTAAATAAATATTTTGACAAGAACTTAAGCATGTTTCATTACAGCAGAGCCACCCTAAGCATGCTGGTAAATTGCTGAAATGGAATTAAGCACACTATTGGAAGGCTATAAACAACATTTTCTGTGACCATTTGAGTAATTCGTAAGCATCACTTTACTCTTCCAGGGAAAAAAGTTATGCTGAATTGCAATTTAATATTAGTCCAAACAGCAAATCAACTGGATCGAGTATGGATATAAATGTGAAAAAAACACCATATGGTACCAAAAGCATATCCTATGTACAAAATTCACATCCCAAGGCTTAGAAATTTTAATCTAGATGTGATAAAGCGAATAAATATTTGACAAGACATTAAGCAGGCTTTATTGCAGCATAGAAATCCTAAACATGTTGGTAAATTGCTGAAAAGGAAAGGTTTCAGTGACCAGTTAAATAATTTGAAGCATCACTTACTCTTCCAGGATAAAAGGTTACGCTGAATTGCAATCTAATATTAGTCCTCTCTTCCAGCCATTGACGAACATAAGCCTCGTGATTTGATGGACAACTGAAGGTGATTTTGTTGGGATATACTACTTCTTGATCCTTTAACGAGAGCCAAGGAATCACCAAAGTAACTTCTCTGCTTCCATCCATAGCCAGATAAGCCGCACGAAACAAAGGGTTGACAGCAGTGCCAGTCATCCAGGGAAGGCTTGCCGTAGTAAAAATTGCAATATGCTGCTTCTTAGACATGGCTACTTAGAGTGCTGGAACTAAAGGCTTCTGCTTTATCAAAAGACATGTTATTCATTGCCATAAAAATTTAAAACCAACAGGATCTCCATAAACCACCATATCTATGGTTCCCAGGCTAAACATTTCAAATAGGAATACGAAAATCACACACAAGGCCTTTAGGAAAATATGAAAGCTCCAAAAAATCATGTTTGACAAGAAATAATACAACAACAACATCAAGCCTTTATCCCACTACGTGGGGTCGGCTACATGAATCTTTTTTCTCCATTTTGTCCGATTAAAAGTCAAATTCTCGTTTAAATCTAATAAAGAAGATCATTTCTAATATTTTCTAACCAAGTTTTTTTAGGTCTGCCTCTACTTTTTTTAACATAAGTCAAATATAAAACCTCTACTTTCCTAACTAGGTCATCAGAAGGCCGCCGTTCTGTGTGACTAAACCATCTAAGGCAACTCTCTCTAATCTTATCTTCTACTGGAGCTACTCCAACATTTTCACGCATACGCTCATTTCGTATCATATCTAATCACTCATCCACTTGAGCATCCTCATCTCTACCACACTTAACTTAGTATTATGCTTTTCTTTTAATGGCCAACATTCGGCACCATAAAGCATTGCAGGCCTCACCACCATCTTATAGAATTTTTCCTTAAGTTTGAGGGGTACTTTTTTATCACACAACAAGTCCGATGCATTCCTCCACTTCAACCATTGAATTATGCTGATAATATCCCCATCTATTTCACCATCACTCTTATCATCTATTTCACCATCACTCTGAACAATAGATCCAAGAAAGAATGCAAAATAAAAAATATAACAGCAACATTTTAACTGAAGAAACAGGAGATTCGAACCATTAGTTTCATTTATAAGCTAGGCATTGCATTGTGAACCTCAATAATATTAAGCAGAATAAAAATTGCCAATTGAAGTATATAGTATATTAAAAAGGTTCTCGAATTGGTTAAGGCTCAATATGTCTACAAGACTTATTAATATTACAGAGAATACAAACTTCATGGATGGACAATACCATCATCATCATCATTAGCCATATCCCAATTAGGATGAACAATATGAATAACAATAATAATAAATGAAAATAGAAGAACTATATTGGAACTTGAATTTTGCAATGGCATCAAATAAGGAAAGGTCGCCATTAATATTAATGTAATGGAGGATGGGCAAAGAATACTAATGATTTTGTAGAAATAGCAAACATCATGATCAGCCAATCTTAAAATCACCAATCGTTTAACTATTCACTGTAAGTGCAGTAGCGCTGTATAAAAATTGCTATCTTCCAATTGCATTGACCTACAAATGCATTTAGAAGGATTCAGAAAAATTAATCAATCTCTTTGCAGCATAAAAAGAGGTGAAACAATTCAAAAGGACATCGCCTAATGAACCAGAAGGCTTTCCCCAAGAGAACATATACAATAAATTAATGTGATAAATATGCCACCAAAAGTTAATATCCTCTCCAAGGCATTATGATTAGACAATAAGTATTCTTGAAACGAATGATATGTTTGGGGCAGCCGTTCATTATTTTGTTTTTATGAACACCGTTACATTTCCAATTGACAGCAGCTTTTCAAAAATCTGTATGTTGGGAAGATGCTTTTTATAACCAAGTATGTTAGAGTATGGTAGCTATAAGAAAACTGAAAAAAAAAAAAAGAAAATACTTATAATATCCACAACAACTTTAATATATATATATATATATTACCACAATAGTTTTGCAACCACATTAATGAAAAGCTAAAGCTAACCCGAACGGACATTAAAAAGCTTTATAAATGTTGCAACTATCCCAAATGAATCCTAAAAAGTAATCATTATATCTCCAATATTTTTATAGTAAATTCGTGACTTGAAGACTCAAGAAGTCATAAACTAGTAATGACAGCACCATGTTTTTAACATGCTTGATGGAAATGTTGTAGGCTATTTCCTATGAACGAGTAATATTTATTCTTTTCAACAACCTCAAATCCGTTCACCAAATTATCCCAAAGGATGATGACAGTTTTAGCTAAAGATAAATATATGATTGATACCACTTGTTAAAATAAATGCCATTGAATTTCTTAAGTTTCTCGAATACAAATTTGATTTCAAAGGTTTTTTAAAATCATGAAAATATTTGATGAGATTTGAATCGAATTTGGTTTTGATTTTCAAATTTGATGACTACCAAACTTAAGATCAAATTAACACATGGTTTAGCATCAAATTCATACCTTACCCTTATAATGCTCTATAAAAGAAAATAAAATCACAAGGAACCGTTCAGTTTCTCCTTGTAAATGGCATCAATAGCAGCAAGGACTCTTGATTAAACGGAAGACGTCAATGTTGAGCCTAAGTTCAAGTATCAATAGCAGTGCAACTTTCTCGATTCAAGAGGATTTGGTGAATAGTGCAGAGATCGGCTGTAGATAGCAATTAGAAGTGTGCCAAGGTTTGGATGGTAAATGATCTTGACCGACAAGAGAGAGTAGCTAGAGGTGACAAGAGAGAGTAGCTAGAGGTTGAGTCCTGGTGATCGATGGTGATATTACGCAAGAAGGATGGCCATGCAAAAAATCAAAAAGCCATGATCAATTGGCTCAATGCAAGGACTTCGAATATTTTAAGATGTAGATTGACGATTGCTTACACCATAAGATGTTGATAATGGTAGTCACCCTTTTGGTGAAAATAATGACAAGAAAATGTTATATAACTTTATTTTAATGTCTAAGAATGTAATCTAGAGTTTGTGATTAAAACAACAATGCTTTAGATAGGTTCAGTGGTGAAAATCCAGAGAGTAGTCCACTTAGGACTAGTTTGTGCTAATTAGAAAGATCTCTTTAGGGGTGAGTTTTGAGGGGCTAAATGATGAGAAATTGTTGTGGATGGTTAGCATAATATATGAACTAATGATCTAAAGTAAAGGGTAAGATTTGGTGGAATTTAATTGGCTGTTGAGGGGTAAGGAATAAGGCTAGGTCCTAAACATTTTGTATTTAATTGAGCAGTGCATATGGGGTTTTGAAATAGTTGTAAGGCTTGATTTGGATGATGGTTAATTTTATAGGATTATTATGATGTAGAGAAAGATGTGGAAAAGATTGAGAATAGGTATTCAGTAACAAAGAGTAAAAAAAATTAAGACTAAAAAAAAGGATAATCACCTAATCTCTTTAAAAAAAATGGTCAATTCTTGAAGCCACCCAGTAACAAGCAAATGAAAAATAATTCTCCACCAAAATGTACTATTCAAGAATAAAAATTTATTACATATCAGCTCTGATTTATAAGCAAGAAAATCACCCATGAACTTCCTCATTTTGGAGGAATTTTTTTTAGAGAAAAAGATAGTAGTTGGCTACTAATGAAATAGGAGACTTTTAACATTATCAATAAATATTTTCATTTTTCATGCTCGTTCGTTAAGGTGGCCGACCATACATGATTCAAAGTCATTTTAACATGCAAACATTTAAAATAAAATTACATTTAAATAATTCCATCATTGGACCCTAACATGGGCTTTGAAATGAACTCTTGCTCGTGGATTTTTGCTAGCTTGTGCATTTGCCCTTCTCTTGTGACGGGTCCAATGGGCTGATTTGAATTACTCACTTGATGTGCTACATCAAAAGTTACATCCATCTCTCTTGGAGAAGAAGTCCACCATGAATCATGATGATTGGGATCTCTTAGACATATGCACGTTGAGGATTACAAGCCTATAATAAAGGAAGAGCATTGCCTTCAACATATTAAACAAAGAAAATTATAGAATGTGTGATCACTGTGATGAAGCTATGTCAAATATGTATGAAAAACTTTCAACAAAAAATAAGATACATCTAATGAGAAAGGTTTTCCATCTTAGGACAGTTGAAGGCACTTCCACAACAATGCATATCAATGAGTTCAATATGATCGAAAGGCAGTTGAGTTTAGTGGATATCAAGTTTGATGAAGTTTGTGCATTGGCATATTATCATCACTTCTAGAGAGCTAGGTTGGAACTATGACAGCTATCAACAGTTCATGCAACTTTACAAAGTAGAAGTTTAACAATACTCGTTATCTAATCTTCAGCGAGGACAACATAATACATGAAACAGGTGAAGGATCTTCATTTGCTACTGCAAATCTAGCAAGCAGAGGAAGAACACGAAAGGGCAACAATCAAGGAAGATCCAAATCTTAGCAGATTAGCTAATCAAACGGTCATAGTAGTAGATATTGGCAACATGGCAAGACTAGCCATGTAAAAAAGGATTGTCCTCCATGAATGAATGAACAAAGTTCAAATCATATGTAGGGATACGTGAATGTGAAAAGCATGATTTCGAAAACCGGACCGGACAGGCCAGTTCGACTGGTTCAACTATTTCGGTCCTCCTGAAAAACTGGTCTAGCATCAAACCGGTTTAAACCACTGGATCAACCGGCCAACCGTTGAACTAGCCCCGGTTCTTAAGAACCAACCGGCTCAATTCATAATATATTTAATTATTTAATTTAATATAAAATATTTTATTAAATATTAAATTAATTTAAATATAATATATTTTATTTAATAATATAATTCCAAAAAATTTATAGCATTATGTATTAAACACTAGTTAATCATACTCGTATGATTCAATCATCTCATATGGGCTCTTAACCCATAAATATAAGAAAAGATATATAAACAACACAATACAAATCTCCTAAGTGACTTAGGACTAAACAACTCGTAGTTTCTACAATGCATGCTTGGTGGATGCTTCTATGAGAATTTCTTGAGAAAATTTTGTATAGAATATTCATATAAAAAATTATTATATAATTTTTAAAATTTTTCAATTTATAATTATTTATGTATTTATAATTATTCAAATAAAAAATGATTATTTATAATTTTTAAAGTTCTAAAACTTCTTTCTAAATATAAACTTAATTTATTCGTTGCTCGGTTTGATTAAAGCTAGTTTGTGACCGTTTAACTAACTAAACAAATAAACATGAACAATATTTATAATACTCGATCCTTAAATAAACAAGCTTGAACACTAATGTGTTCGTTCATTTATGTTCACGAACAACATCATTTGAAGCTCGTGAACAAGCTCGATTCGTGTTCAATTTAGAACTCGTGAATAAGCTCGATAAATATATTCATATAGATTAATCATATTTTCATTTTAAATAGACAATTGCTTTTATTTTAAATTTAATTTCATTTTATTTTATACATTTAATAGAAAGAATTTGTTCATGAACAAGTGACATTACACTTTTGTCAATATTTGCTAGATTGTTTGTTTAAGATGTTCATGAACAAATATAAGATGAAACATAAATCGTTTGTTCGTGAATAAGGTCATTTGGTAGCTCAAAAATACTAGTTATTATATATTCATGATTTTGCTCATTTTATAACAAAAGAATACTCATTAGATTTGTTCATGAACGTGCTTATTTGATAATGTAAAAAAATTTGCTAAATATATTCACGAACACAACTCATTAAGGCTTGTTTGTTTAAAGCTCGATAAGCACTAAATGAACCAAACATGAACACCATTAATTTAAATGAACCAAACATGAACACAAACAATAAAGCTTGAATCAAACACAAACCTAACTTGAACAAGCTAATAATAAACAAACTCAAACATGAACACTCACATACTCGGCTCGATTCGGTTAGTTTTGCAGCCCCATTTTTAAGGTTAGATTATCATCATTATTATATTAATTTTATTAATTTTTAATAATATTATTATTTATTATATCATCCGATTATTTATTATGTTAATTTTATTAACTGTGAACCATTCATTCTTCTAGTTCGTCATCCAATCTGATTTTTATAACCTTGGTTAAAAGTAAGGAAATGAATAATGCACCAATCTTTAGCATGGAAAGTCTTATGAAAAAATGGATCTGAGAATTGGGTGAGTATTTTGATAGATGGGTCCCTCCTGAGCTGGCCAAAGTTCACGTCAGGCGGAACCATTCCGCCCGGAGGATTTTCACGCCGCTTGGGGGGTAGTTCCCGAGGGGTTTGTTTTGGGATTGTTGTATTAGTGTATGCTTTAAGTATATTTTTTTCCCTTGGGTTTGTTTTATGAATTTTGTGTTTGTTGAATTAAGATTGTTCTAAGCTTGAGTGGGTTTTAGCTGGCGGCTAATGATTTGGGAGAGTCGGATCTTCCTCTTGAATTGAAGATCCACTTGTATCTTGCTATTTCCTTCATAAATTTTTCAATAAAAAGTGTATTAATTGTTTATATTCCTAGTTTTCTAGTTGTATATTCTCTGGTTTTTCTTAAATCAAATTTCAGTCTAGGGTTTTCTAATTTCCTGCATCCACTTCCTATAAAATTGGTATCCGAGCAATTTTCTGGGATAAAATAAGTCTCCCTCGCTAAATTCTGCTACATTTTTCTCTCCATTCTTGCTACATTTTTCTCTCCATTCTTGCTGATTTTTGTTGTTGGGGGTCAGATTCACATCAAGCTTGTTGTTTTTTGTCATTTGGAGCCTAGATTCAAGTAATTATGGCAGGAATAAAGGTAGAAGTGTTGGAAGAGGAGATCAAACAAATGAAATCGGATTTTGAGAAAAAAAATTCAGAGATAGAAACTCAAATTCCATCCAAACATGAGTAGATCGATGGGAAGTTTGCTATCATGGAGGAGATAATCAGGAAGATGCTCGACACCCAAACCAAAACGACTTTCTCGGAGGTGGGTGCGGGGGAGTTGGTGGCCAAGGAAGTGGGGAAAACCCTAATCCCAGAAGGCGAAGGGAAGAACATCAGATAGAGAATTTTGGAGGGAGAAGAGAGAATGCCTCCCCTAAATATTCTTAGAGAGGAGCCAAGTTGGGATTTGTTGTATTAGCGTATGCTTTAAGTAGAATTGTTTTTCCCTAGGGCTTGTTTTATGCATTGTGTTCGCTAAATTGAGTGGGCTCTAGCCCATGGCAAAGGATTTGAGAGAGTTGGATCTTCCTCTCGAATTGAAGATCCACTTGTATCTTACAATTTCCTCCATAAATCTTTCAATAAAAAAAGTCTTAACTATTTCTATTCCTAGTTTTTTTATTGTATATTCTCTGGTTTTGCTGAAATTAATTTTAAGCCTAGGGTTTTCTAAATTTCTGCATCCAATTCTTATCAAATTGATATCAGAGCAATTTCCTGGGCTAAAATAAAAGTATCCCTCGCTGAATTTTGCAGCATTTTTTTGTCCATTCTTGCTGCATTTTTCTCTCCATTCTTGTTGATTGTTGTTGTTTGGAGGTCAGATTCACATCAAGCTTGTTGTTTTTGCCATTTGGAACTTAGATTCGGGTATTTATGATAGGAATAAAGGTAGAAGTGTTAGAAGGTTAGATCAAACAAATGAAATCGGATTTGGAGAAAAAAATTTCTGAGTTAGAAACTCAAATTTCAGACATACATGAGAAGATGGATGGGAAGTTTTCTATCATGGAGGATGAGGAGGAAAATGCTCGAGGTCCAAATCAAAACGACTTCATCGGAGGCGAGGGGAGTAGTAGGTGGCTAATTAAGTGGGGAAAACCACAATCCGAGAAGGCGAAAGGAAGATCAGTAGGTTGGGATTTTGGAAGGAGAAGAGAGAATGCCTCTTGCCTCACCTAAAGCCTATTCTTAAGGAGTAGTCGAGTAGAGAGTATAGGGAGAGACTAATTAAGATCGAAGGGTGCTGAATTTAAAAGGAGAATGGGTGATTTTGACGAAGGGTTTGGGTAGGAGCATAGAAGAGATGATTGAAACATTTGGGGGGAAACACCCTTTTGTGGAAAGAAAAATTAAGAAGGAAACTAGGGAAAGGGGGGAGATCTGAGGGTAAGGAAGCTAAAGATGTCTATTTTTTAGGGAGATTATGCACATAGGTGAATCTACATGATGGAAATGTACTTTACCGTCAATAGGTTGATGGAGGAAGACAAACTGACGGTGGCAAAGACGTGCTTGAGGGAATTGGCATGGTACTAGTGGAGGGATACGAGGGAGTTTAAGGACTATTTGTTGGAATGTTTTCGAACCTGCGAGGAAGGGGACTTCTATGAGCATTTTTTTGCTCTAACGCATGAGGGGATGGTGGTAGAGTACCGTGAGAAATTTAAGCATCTAACCAGCCGATTGGACCGACTTCCAAAGACTGTATTGTAGGGAAATTTTATGAAAGGCCTCAAACCAGATGTTCGAGTGACAATTAGAGTAATGAGGTCTTGAAATTTGGGAGAGGCCATGGAGCTAACACAATTAGTGGAGGATCAAAGGCACCTGGAGAGAGGGGCTGGAGGCAGTCACTTAGGAGGTTTGTATAGAATGACCACCACTTTTTTTGGCATCTAAGGAACCGAAACTAGGTATTCTTAGAAAGACCCCGAAGGAGAAAGACTATAGGAGTGAGACCTGAGGGAAACTTCAGGATGCTTACAGAGATGGTGTTACAGGAGAAGAGGGTGAGGGGCTGTGTTTTAGATGTGATGAAAGGTTTATATCAAGGCGCAGGTGTATGGTCTGAACTCTTTAGATTCTCACCGTTTGTAATGAAGAGAAAATTGAGCAGGGAGACGTATGAGAAGATGAAGCAATAGTTTCCATCTTTCCAACTTGAGGACAACGTGAGTCTTTGAAAGGGGGCCATTGATAGACCGATCCCTCCTGGACTGATAATGGTTGAGCCGGTCCCTCCTGGACTGACCAAAGTTCACGCCAGGCGGAACCGTTCCGTACATATTTATTGTATTAGAGTATGTTTTAAGTAGATTTTTTCCCTAGGGTTAATTTTATGCATGTTGTGTTTGTTGAATTGAGATTGTTCTTAGGTTGAGTGGGCTCTAGCTGGCGGTTAGGGATTTGGGAGAGCCAGATCTTCCTCTCCAATTGAAGATCCACTTGTATCTTGCTATTTTCTTCATAAATATTTTGATAAAAAGTGTCTTGAGTGTTTATATTCCTACTTTTCTTATTATATATTCTCTGATTTTGTTGAAATCATATTTCAGCCTAGAATTTTCTTAATTTTTTCATCCACTTCCTATCATATTTTCATTCAACTCTATTTAAAGAGTTTATATAAAATTATTTAATAGCAGCTTGCAAAAAAAGTCATCTTCTTGATGGTGAAATCTTGAAATTTGATGATGTACAAGTTAAGACAAGTGAAAGAAATATGTGAAAGCTTTACAAAGTGAGGCACATTAGTGGCTTGAAGAGGAACTAAATCTCGATTGGACAGCTTACATGCAAATCAGCAAACCAAAGTAGCCCATGAAGGCATGAAATATAAAAGAGAAACAATAACACTAATTCTTTATAACAACGGTTTCTCAAAGCTAAGAAAACCTAGTGGGTCTAACCAATCATATGACAAAAATATGTAAAATCCAGATGGATGATAAACAATTAATCAAGACTGCGCGTGCCTTAGGGTTTATGCCTTTTACCATTCTATGGCTTATGGGTAATTTTATGATAATAAAAAGGGAGCAGCTGGACTTACCGGAGCCTGCAGAGCGTAAGCGACTGAGCGCAGAGATGCCGAAGAAAAATGAAGTTCTCGCCTCCTCCAAATCCGAGTGAGCAAGCGATTGATCAGCGCAGAGAAAAACCACGAGCAGCGATGCCGATTGACGAGCTCACGACGACCGACGGGATTCAATCGTCGAGCGGAGAGAAGAGAACCTAGGGCGCACGGGCGGAGTCTCGAGCAAAAGAATCGGGCGGAAATGCCAAAAACAACGTTCAATTTTTAACCTGCTGAGGGGCAATTTACTAAAAAACCCATTCTTTAATACATATTTTAATTTTTTTAGGGGGGCAATTGCCCCCCTGGACTGGGCTTGGTTCCGCCCCTGCCGATAGTTTGGCGGATTTAAGAAATTTTGTCGAAGAAGCGCGCTAAAGGGATGAAAGGTCGTTACCTTTGCAGCGAGCGAGTTCCCGTCGTTAATTCCGATCCAGCATGGTCTAACTATCGTGACTTTCCGTCCGAAAGGAAGGAACGTCGTTCAAGGAGGCGAAGAAGCTAACGCCTTGTGCAGGCAAAGTCGAACAGGTCGAAAGAGGCGAAGAAGGTAGCGATGTCGAACGGCAACAAAGAGGATAAATTATTACTTACGCGCGGTCGCCAGACACGCACACCAATCAGGGCTCGTTTTGGTTGGTCAATGTTGGTCAAAAAAATTATTTTAAATTTGTTACGGGAGAAAATAGAGTTTCAAAAATAACTCTCTTAAGAAAGGTTTTGAAAATAGGACGAATCGGGATCGAATTAGATGAAGTAATAAAAAAATAAATAAATAAATAAATGTTAAATTTTCTAATTACATAAATATGATATCAATTACTGAAATAATGTACCTTGAAAGCATTAGAGGGATTAAGCTTAAGCAAAAGACAAGCATATACTGACTGAGATAAACAGAACACAACGACAGAACATCTGATTACTAAAATCATGTTTGCCATAGCAATCTTGATTTTAGAATGGTGCTATTAGATTATCTGTTGGGCACTCAATGCGCTAACAAAATGTGCCATTTGGATTTACCGTTTGGAACCAAAAAAATAAAAATTCCAAGTCATGGAGGTCTACCATTTGCGATCTAGCACGAAAAAAAGAAGAGTGGAATTCGGAATTCCACTGACTGAGATAAACAATGATTTTCTTAGACTTCAAAGAAAAATAGAGAACAAGTTTAAAATCATAAAAATAAAAAAAAATCTAAAATCAAGATGTATGCACAGGTTGAATCACGAGCAGTTTTCAGTATTTATCAACCATTACAGCAAGCATAGATGGGAAAAAATTGAAAAAATGAAAGCATATCGGTATGATTTGGAGAAGAAATGCAAGGCTGCAAGCTAATATGTGTAAAAAAATTAGAAATTCAAGAACCTGTGTCTGAATCGTCCGAGCTCGACGGATCGGGTAGGTGGCCAAACATGAATTCTTCCCCAGCTTAACTGGCACAATCGCCGAGTAGTAAACGGTGTTCGCCGGCGGCTGTGAGGTCCGGGACGACCACTTCTGGAAGAACTGAGGTAGACGAGCCGCAAGTAGGAGTCGGTGTATGCTAGGGAAGACAAGCCGCGAGCGACTAATACCTCTTACATACCGATACCCAAGGTATCTAAGCCGTTCGATCGCAGATCAAGGGCTCAAATTAGAGCTTTTACGGACCGGCCGGTTATTCCTATACCTCCCGGTTTGGCGGTTAACCGGTTCAACCGGATTTTGAACCGGTTTTTACCCAGTTAATAAATTGCCCGGTTTCCTCCTCTTCCCGGACCGCCCGCCAGACCGGTTCGAGGTTGAACCGGTCGAACCGGCCAGTCCGATCCGGTTTTCAAAACGTTGCTCTTAAGTTATTATATAATTTTATTTGGTTAAATTATTTTTTATATGATTATTCAAAATTTAAAATAGATAATAAGTAAATATTTGATACAATTAATAATTTCATCCTTTTCATCGTAAATGAGGAAATTGCCCATATATTAAACTTAAAAATACTTAAATTTTTTTACTACTTACATAAATGAAAATATACATAAAACATTTAGAAAATATATTAAACAATTGCACGACCATATTAAATTTATGAACCAAATTATAGCATTGCCTGAAAGTAAATAACCATCCTACTCAATGTATAAATAACAGCAGCTTATATAAAGAAAACTTATAAGCATCCATGATCCATACGTCCAAATGTTCAACCAATTGCTCCGTTCACAAATAGAGAAGGCTACAGTAACCTTAATATCCTTACTTAGTTTGAGATGCACAGTCTGCAATTGATTCATTTTGTTTTCGAGCTTGTGTTTTGTCCTGTATATGTATACATACAAAAGTTATTGAAGCTCAACTCTTAAAAATGATCTTCCTTTAATCATATGAACCACTAACACAAAAACTTACATCAATTGAACACTCAATTCACATATAATTAAAGTCAAACAAAAAAACTAAAAGTAGATGAAAATAAAAACCAACAACCAACAAAATTGAACTATTGTCGTGTCATGTTTACTCTGGAGGAACTCATAAATGACAACTCTCAATTTTCACCAGGAAACTTGAAATAAAAGAAGAATATATTATAAATATATCATTAAAGATTTACTATTATATTTCAACTAGATTTATTAAAAAATATTTATATTATATTTAAATATAACAAAAAAAGTTACATGTAGTGTCTATTACAAATGTATAATTGCATTGCAATAGTTTCTCTGACTTCAACCATATCGTTCGCACATTTGCCATTAAGCAACTCTACAGAAAACTTCTTTTTCAAGTCGGAACTCCTGTGCTTGTGGATGAACAAAATTTTCATCGGCATCAAATTCCTTAAATTTCGGATCACTCCATGAGTGATGTATTCTTATGTAGTTATGCAGTGTCATTGTAGCCACTACAATAAGCCGTTGTTTTTAAAAGAATAGTTCGGCATATCTCATAGAATTCTTCATTTCTTTTTAGATACACCAAATGCCCTCTCTATTACACTTCTTAGCGAGGAATGCCTCCTATTAAATACCTCTCGATGCCCTATAGTTGGTCAACTTCCTCGTTAGAAATATGGTATATGATATCGCGTCTCTAGATATGGCTTAAGAAAATTTCTTTGCGGTGGGTATCCAGCATCAAATAAATAAAATTTACCTGTTAACAAATATGTTAATTTTCTCATTACCTTTAGTATAAAATTGGTTTACTAAAATCATTATTACTTATTAATTAAATATTACCTGATGGCAGTTCAGGAAAAATGTATAGCAAACTCCTTAGAACATGTTGGAAGATAAGAGTATCATGAGCTGAACATTCCCATCTTGTTGCCACAAATGTAAATCACATATTAAAATCACATACTATCATTATATTTTGTGTAGGTGAATGATGTCGCACTATACACGGAATTTGATCTTCAACAGGAATACGAGCGTCTACATGAGTTCCATCAATTTTTTCAATGCATTCCTTAAAATATGACATGTATCTAGTATTGTTTCTAATATGTACAAGGACGTCACGAAATTCCTTATCTTCCGGTACAATATTATCCATTATTAAATTAACCAATGCTCGAACTCATAAAGAAAAATATATGCTTATTATTTCTATAGAATCCTGAAATCTTTTTGAGGTAGCTCTTACAGATTCATTATGACTCAAAATAAACAAAGTTATTCCAAGAACTTCTCTAGTACTTGTTCTATGTGAACCACATAATCCATAAAACGATTCTAGCTTGCAAAGTAAGTCAGTAAATATAACTTGGGACATCATAAATATATTATGAAACCTAACAGAATGGCCACAAAGTAAATCTCATGCCACTCTATCTCCACTTTTATCTAATGTCATGTAAGTCCTTTTGTTCAAATAAAGTGAAAAGTAATCATTTTGTAAAAAAAAAAATGTTAGGCAACCATTATATTGCTAAATTGTGTAATTGTCATTTTATCAGTATTTTGCAATTTTTCATCATTACACTCGTTACATGACCAACTCTCATTATCCTCCGACACTGTGTATCTGCAAAAAATAAAAAATTTATAAGTATAGTTTATTAAATATAGATTACTATACAAAAGTAGTTAAATATATCAATCATTTACATCAAAATAAATATTGATTAGTAAAAGCAATGAAAAAACTATCACAGTTTAGCTTGATATCAACCATTCTTCTTAAGTCCTTGTCATTTGATATTGTAATCAGAACACGTTTGCTGTTCTAAAGAAAGTATTTGGTATACATATCCATATTGCAGTTAATAAACATGTCGGATATCTCCATTACAAGTTCGTGGAAGTGCATGCTTCGATCGATTTTAATAACATGCGCTTCTCCAACACTATAAAACATAGATCCATCATTGTTTGTCATAAAATCTCCACCAAACTAGCAAATGGTTAAAATTGTTTGCGCATAGATGACGTTGTGGCTTTTCCTGCTTTTGTGAATTTACAAGCCTAATTATTAGAAGGCGGTCTAGTGCTTGAAAGCACATGAAAGTGACTGCCTCATAAAAAAACTCTCAAGACTTGCACTATTCATTAGAAGAACCTAAAATCACAATTTCTACTGATAATGAAGCCTAGTTGCTAAGCACAACATTGTTGTCAGATATATGTACTGAAAAAAAAAAAGTTACATGATATAGTCATGAAAGAGCCAGTATCGGGATCACATGATATAGCTGCTTTGTGAATTTTACGCTTATTAGATTAGTACTTACAACAGCTTTAAATTGGAGATTCCTTTGATAATTAAAGGTATTTGATTGTTCCAGCTAGCAGTAGATGGACACAATAATACCATACTTATTATTCCTATATGGTTGTGCTGCAGTACAAAATATGCACCTCGTGAAAAATAATTAACTCTAGGCCTGTCAATTTCTGACACGACAAAAAAATCCGACCCGGACCCGACCTGAAAAATCCAAGTTAGAGTTAACCCGTGAAATAAACGGGACGGTTCGGGTTTAATTTCTTGACCAGTTTAAATTTCGAGTCGGGTTCGGATCAACCCACTGGCGACCTGACTAACCCGTGACTTCTCTATTTAGTGTTTAATACTTATATTTTGACTTTTGAGTCGAGAGGTAGATGTTCATCTTTTCGAGTCTTTGCCTCTGGTGTTCTTCCATCTTATTCCATTTTAGGGTTTGCACTCCTCGCTCTCTCTGGGTCTTCAGGAGCACTAGATCAATGGAGTTCTCTTGCTATCTTTTTCTATCGACCTCTCGAATATTGTGGCTCCCTCGACTTCTGAATTTCTCCTCGAATCCTCCTCCTTTCTGGCTTTGTCATTCGTGATGGTCGGTAATATCTTCAATAACTCTTAACCTATTGTTTTCTTGAACTGTTAGTGGGACGGTCGTATGTTGTTTTTGGTTTTTATTTAGTTTTTTTTTTTAATTATTATTTTTTATATTTGTTCATTCTTTTTGTAACAATTTTTGAGTTTTGACTCTCGGTGTTTGAGTGTTACAGATTTGGTGATTTTTTAAATATGTAGATGGAGGATTAGCTTATTTTGAAATCTAATACTGCTTCGTTAATTAG